CCATCTTCCATGCAGTTCCTCCCCTCCCACCATCTTCCATGCAGTTCCTCCCCTCCCACCATCTTCCATGCAGTTCCTCCCCTCCCACCATCTTCCATGCAGTTCCTCCCCTCCCACCATCTTCCATGCAGTTCCTCCCCTCCCACCATCTTCCATGCAGTTCCTCCCCTCCCACCATCTTCCATGCAGTTCCACCCCTCCCACCATCTTCCATGCAGTTCCTCCCCTCCCACCATCTTCCATGCAGTTCCTCCCTCTCCCACCATCTTCCATGCAGTTCCTCCCCTCCCACCATCTTCCATGCAGTTCCTCCCCTCCCACCATCTTCCATGCAGTTCCTCCCCTCCCACCATCTTCCATGCAGTTCCTCCCCTCCCACCATCTTCCATGCAGTTCCTCCTCCCCTCCACCATCTTCCATGCAGTTCCTCCCCTCCCACCATCTTCCATGCAGTTCCTCCCCTCCCACCATCTTCCATGCAGTTCCTCCCCTCCCACCATCTTCCATGCAGTTCCACCCCTCTCACCATCTTCCATGCAGTTCCTCCCCTCCCACCATCTTCCATGCAGTTCCTCCCCTCCCACCATCTTCCATGCAGTTTCTCCCCACCCACCATCTTCCATGCATTTCCTCCCCTCCCACCATCTTCCATGCAGTTTCTCCCCTCCCACCATCTTCCATGCAGTTCCTCCCCTCCCACCATCTTCCATGCAGTCAATCTCCCTCCCACCATCTTCCATGCAGTTCCTCCCCTCCCACCATCTTCCATGCAGTCCCTCTCCCTCCCACCATCTTCTATGCAGTTCCTCCCCTCCCACCATCTTCCATGCAGTCTCTCCCACTCCCACCATCTTCCATGCAGTCTCTCCCTCTCCCACCATCTTCCACGCAGTCCCTCCCCCTCCCACCATCTTCCATGCAGTCCCTCCCCCTCCCACCATCTTAAATGCAGTCCCTCTCCCTCCCACCATCTTCCATGCAGTCTCTCTCCCCTCCCACCATCTTCCATGCAGTCTCTCCCCCTCCCACCATCTTCCATGCAGTCCCTCTCCCTCCCACCATCTTTCATGCAGTCCCTACCCCTCCCACCATCTTTCATGCAGTCCCTACCCCTCCCACCATCTTCCATGCAGTCCCTCCCCCTCCCACCATCTTCCATGCAGTCCCTCCCCCTCCCACCATCTTCCATGCAGTCCCTCCCCCCCCACCATCTTCCATGCAGTCCCTCCCCCTCCCACCATCTTCCATGCAGTCCCTCCCCCTCCCACCATCTTCCATGCAGTCCCTCTCCTTCCCACGATCTTACATGTAGTCCCTTCCCCGCCCACCATCTTCCATGTAGTTCGTCCCTCCCCCTCCCACCATCTTCCATGTAGTTCGCCCCTCCCACCATTTTCTACGCAGTCTCTAACAGCCTCCCTTCCACCATTTTCTGTATCTCCACCACTCTTCCTCCTCCTCCCGAGCCTCCACGACAATGACGGATATCCTCATTGTTCTACTGAAGGGGGGGGGGGGTGAACGGAATCATTATTTTTTTTTCCAAATTTCAATGAAATTTTTAATGTGATTTAAGCAGCATTTGAAACCTACACACTGTGTTTGTAGTGATTTTTTTGCCTTAAAAGATAGAAAAAAATAATTAGTGCTTTATTCTATAGGGAACAAAACTCTCCCTTATCTTCAAAATTGGTAAGACATACAATGATCTAGTTGACATCAAATGAAAGATAAGGGATAGATAATTTTGGTACCAACGTCGTTTGAGTGAAAATGTCAATAGATTGTATAAAAAAAAATGTTGAAGTTCATTTTTCTAAGAACTTTTTTTGGAAGAAAAAAAATCAATATAAACAAAGCGGTAAAAAATATCACAAATCCCCTGTGCATGGTAGTAGAACCATCATTACTCAATAACGTGTGCAAAAATCATGACACTCCTATAAATACTTTTCGCCAGAAATGGAAAATAATGTCAATAACTTATTCCTAAGTTACACATATATTACGTTTTCTGTAAAACTCTACGGTGACGGCTCGCCATATTTCAGTATGTTGCACCACACAACACATGTTGACAACCCACAGGTGACTGAGCTATTATCACTCCCTGCACTTGAATGGAGTCCTCAGAGATGTTGTAATGTAGTGTATTTAGATTGAAACAATCATAAAAGTCGTAATTTTTGGAGTAAAACAAAAAAAAAAATATGAATTGCCACCATGCCGTTTTGTAGACAATAAGAACAAAAAAAAAATACATTTTTGGAAGAACATACTTAGAAATATGATGGAAACAATTTGATTACATCAACATGTTGCCAGAATTATGCACTATTTTTCAGTAAGAAAACATTTTTTACCATAATTTTTAAATTTTTCCTTTATCACTCCTAGACCTTTCACCCCGTCCCTGAAGTCTCAGCTTAGGCTACCATGTGAATACCACGTATGTTGTGGGAAGTACTGCCATTTTTCTGCTATAATTTCACGTAACTGTTAATTTAGTCTAGATATACTCTTCGACTCTTACACTTTTACCAGAAATCATAAACAATGAGGCTAAGACATTCTACATTCTGTTTATCTAGGGGCAAAACTTCCATATTGATGAATATTTATATTGGTTGCACTTGTTAATGACGTCGTCAATACTTCGGTGAAAAACAAAGTTCAATGTAAGTGAGGTTGATATTCGCTGCTACTCAGCCTAGGAGGTATCGGTGTCCGTAAGGCATTACAAAGTTCACTACTTGTTTTCCTGTCTTCATGTGTGGTGTCAAGTGAACTTGTAATGGAGATTCTTCCTGAACAACTTAGGAACAACGATGGGATTCGTGACCAAACGTTCACGGATGGAGCCAGGCTCTGGGATAATCTAACGGGCTCTAAAACCAGATCTACTTCCCCAACAGCTACAAACAGTAACATTGGGATGGCCCACTAGTGGAGAATATAGCCTCAGTAATGCTTCTCAATGAATGACAGGGGTCGCCTCCTTGTAATAAGAACTCCTCATGCGGGGAATTTAATGATGGTTGTCCCCAGTTCCTTCCTTGGCACACGCCACGATCCACAGACCATCCGTATTAGTGTTGACTTTAGCATTGCTGCACCTATCCTCTTCAAACACGTGTATCTGTGGCAGTGAATCGACTAACCGATTCACGTACCATAGTTTCGTTTGTCGAAGATATGAGGGACAGATTGCAATGTATGGCAAGGTTAATAGCATCAAGAGGAGCCTTGCAACAGTCGAATCCCCAGCAATAAGAGAGCTACCCCCTACTACGCAGATCTAATAGCAAAAAAGGTTCAAGATGGAATTACCTTGCAAGCCTGGATAGACAGCAAGCAGGTGATATAGGAATACGTATGTGCATCCACATTGGCTAACACTTATCTCCAATACATCAGGGAGGAAGGAGGGGCAGCTGTCAGTTTCAGGAGTCCCAGAACTTGCCCATTATTATATGCTCTCAAAGGCTCATAGAGACTGTTCATGGGGAAGACCACCCCCCAGTTCCTCAAGGAGCTAGGAAAAGTCATCAGAGCAACTAAGCATGCCAAGGAATCAAATTTTCTGTTCCAGTGGCTGAGCGCTGCAGTTCAGAGGTGTAATGCTTGTTGTATCCTGGGTACGCAATAGCTCAGAACTGGAAGAGAATATTGTAATATAAATTTTGTTAAACATGTAGCAATACATGCTTGTAATGTATCTCTAAAACCGCATGTACTGTATTCTCCATCTCTGTATCATCAGTGTGTCTTGTAAGCCTTATGTAATATAAGTATTACATTAAAAAAAATAACTTTGTAATATACAGAATTAAATTTAATTAAATTTAATAGCAAAAGGATTGTAACAATTAAATAGATTAAGCATTGAGATTTCATAAAAAACTATAATTAAATTATCATGCTTCTCCTGCGTAACAGCAGAGAGGGTGTCTGCAGGAGGCAGACAATAAAGAAACGTTGAAGGGGTTGGAAGGCTGTTAAATAACCCATGACAACAGCTTCTCTCACCTCCCATGTGCAAGTGAATAAATAGGGTTATTTAGGCAGAGGTACACACAAGTACAATCATCATAGTATAAATTACCTAGGATAGCATCAAAAAAGGTCTAAGTAACTTATTTCCATTGGTGTCCTTGATTTCCAAAGTGTTGTAGCCACAATATGAACACCTGGTATCTGTGAAGTAGGTTAGGGTACACAAAATTTGCTAGGAAACTGGAGAAGTGTTTCCTGATACTGGTATTAATCATATAAAGACCAACTTTTGATCATCAGACCAAGGCCTTTCGCTGGCTTATCAATCAACCCTTTAAAAATTATGGTTAGCTCACCAATTGCAGTCTGAGGAAGAGTCCTCTTGATAGCGACAACATTACATGGTAATACAATTACTAATAGAAAGTGAGCACCGCCATATTTAGGAAGAGATAGGGTAGAGTAGAGCCCAAATTATTACCTGAAATTATATACTCGGTTATATAACTTACAATATTCAGTCCACATCCCTAGGATATTTACATTTCGTCATTCTGAAAATAATATTAGGACTCCCAGTGTATTTAATTATGAAGTTAGAGGCTACGACTGTGTGGGTAATTTTTCCAGGTCTTGGTTGAACCCTGAGAGGTCAAAGTGGCCTCGACCTTCAGAAAGAAATCCTCGTGTTTTACAGATGCAAAAGAAACAAAGTTAATTTTGGTAGCAATGTTTCCTTACAAACGTAAACCATACAGTGTGATGGAATACCAAAGGGAAACATAGCTAGCTTTTGTTCCCACAGAATAACTAGTAAATTTAATAGGGTATCAACACATATTGGTAGTAATTTTTCCTAATATATATAAACCATATTGTGAGATGGAATGCGAAAAGGAATCACAGCTAGCTTTTGTTCCCACTCTACAACTGGTAAACTAAGTAGGGTATCACCATACTGGTCATGTATCCAATTTGCCAAAAAGTTAGTTCCAACCACTCACCAGAGGCTGGCCATCGACGATGACCCCTGCAGCCTTGTCCATCATGTCGAGTGCCAGGTTTGCGATACATCTAGCATGGTGGTCACATGTCTCTGGTAGACCACTCACTGCCATGTACTTGTCTCCCACCGTCTCCACCTGGTTAACGAGGATGATCGTTATTAAATGTACTAGGACGGTGATGAACTAGGGTGGTGAACTAGGGTGGTGGTGAACTAGGGTGGTGATGAACTAGGGTGGTGATGAACTAGGGTGGTGGTGAACTAGGGTGGTGAGAATAGGGTGGTGGTGAACTAGGGTGGTGATGAACTAGGGTGGTGATGAACTAGGGTGGTGATGAACTAGGGTGGTGGTGAACTAGGGTGGTGATGAACTAGGGTGGTGATGAACTAGGGTGGTGATGAACTAGGGTGGTGATGAAACTAGGTGGTGATGAACTAGGGTGGTGGTGAACTAGGGTGGGATGAACTAGGGTTTGGTGGTGAACTGGGGTGGTGGTGAACTAGAGTGGTGATGAACTAGGGTGGTGATGAACTAGGGTGGTGGTGAACTAGGGTGGTGATGAACTAGGGTGGGGGATGAACTAGGGTGGTGATGAACAGGGTGGTGATGAACTAGGGTGGTGGTGAACTAGGTGGTGATGAACTGGGTGGTGATGAACTAGGGTGGTGAGAACTAGGGTGGTGATGAACTAGGGTGGTGGTGAACTAGGGTGGTGATGAACTAGGGGGGTGATTGAACTAGGGTGGTGTGAACTAGGGTGGTGATAACTAGGGTGGTGATAAAACTAGGGTGGTGATCAACTAGGGTGGTGATGAACTAGGGTGGTGGTGAACTAGGGTGGTGATGAACTAGGGTGGTGGTGAACTAGGGTGGTGATGAACTAGGGTGGTGATGAACTAGGGTGGTGATGAACTAGGGTGGTGATGAACTAGGGTGGTGATGAACTAGGGTGGTGATAAAACTAGATTTGGTGATGAACTAGGGGGGTTTGATGAACTAGGGTGGTGATGAAACTAGGGTGGTGATGAATAGGTAGTGATGAACTAGGGTGGTGATGAACTAGGGTGGTGATGAACTAGGGTGGTGATGAACTAGGGTGGTGATGAACTAGAGTGGTGATGAACTAGGGTGGTGATGAACTAGAGTGGTGATGAACTAGGGTGGTGATGAACTAGGGTGGTGATGAACTAGGGTGATGCATATTAGTGGTGGTGTATGATAGTGATGAATAAGACACCTATGCTACATTTGGGTATCTTTATTCTTGAAACGTTTCGCGACATAGTGGCTTCTTCAGTCAAATGCAGAGAAAAGGTGGAAGACGAGGAGTTTGTGGCAATCAGTCCCTCAACCTGGAGTAGATGTGTTCAACCCATAAATCTTGACAAAGGTGCAGCATATTAATTTTCTAAACTGTTTATTCACTTGGAGATGAAAGAAAGTTGTGATTTACGAAGGTGATGAAGTACACGGGTGCTGGTACGGTGTTAGTTATTACAGGTGATGTGCGATAAACCTGTGATTTAATTAAAAAACATGAAACTCGGTACATTTGTAGATTGTGCATTTGATGACTGACATACAGAGGCATTTTTTAAATGACTGTTCTTGTTGACCACATGACTGTAACTACATTTGCAAGAGGAGTCTGGTGGCTTGGTTGATAGCATTCTGAGCTCTCTCAATAAGGGCCCAGGGATCGCTCCAGTGCACGGTTCAAACGTTGGGAATATTTCCGCTGCCTGTGTTTACCTAGCAGCAAGTAGGTACCTGAGTGTCAGTCGACTGTTATGGGGGTCATCTTGGAGGAGAAGATTAAGGGTCTCCAATGGAAATTAAACCAGCAGTTCATGGTGGGTTATCTTAGGTACAAAAACTTTTGGTTTTTAAGCCAGCAGTTCATGGTGGGTTATCTTAGGTACAAAAACTTTTGGTTTTTAAACCAGCAGTTCATGGTGGGTTATCTTAGGTACAAAAACTTTTGGTTTTTAAACCAGCAGTTCATGGTGGGTTATCTTAGGTACAAAAACTTTTGGTTTTTAAACCAGCAGTTCATGGTGGGTTATTTAGGTACAAAAAATTTTGGTTTTTAAGCCACAGTTCATTTGGGGGGTTATCTTTGGTACAAAAAAATTTTGGTTTTTTAAACCAGCAGTTCATGGTGGGTTATTTTTGGTACAAAAACTTTTGGTTTTTAAACCAGCAGTTCATGGTGGGTTTATCTTAGGTACAAAAAACTTTTGGTTTTTAAGCCCGCAGTTCATGGTGGGTTATCTTAGGTACAAAAACTTTTGGTTTTTTTAAACCCGCAGTTCATGGTGGGTTATCTTAGGTACAAAACTTTTGGTTTTTAAACCAGCAGTTTTATGGTGGGTTATCTTAGGTACAAAAACTTTTTGGTTTTTAAGCCAGCAGTTCATGGTGGGTTATCTTAGGTACAAAAACTTTTGGTTTTTAAGCCAGCAGTTATGGTGGGTTATCTTAGGTACAAAAACTTTTGGTTTTTAAACCCGCAGTTCATGGTGGGTTATCTTAGGTACAAAAACTTTTGGTTTTTTTAAAACCCGCAGTTCATGGTGGGTTTATCTTAGGTACAAAAAAAATTTTGGTTTTTAAACCAGCAGTTCATGGTGGGTTATCTTAGGTACAAAAACTTTTGGTTTTTAAACCAGCAGTTCATGGTGGGTTATCTTAGGCACAAAAACTTTTGGTTTTTAAACCAGCAGTTCATGGTGGGTTATCTTAGGTACAAAAACTTTTGGTTTTTAAACCAGCAGTTCATGGTGGGTTATCTTAGGTACAAAAACTTTTGGTTTTATATTACGCTAAATAATTTAGTGTACAAACACCTCTACGGAAGGTAACACAATACTGAAAAAACTTATAACTAAACATTGTATAATTTTGAAGTGTTAATCATCTTGTTTCATTGGATAAACAAAGTAATACAGATATATAAAGATTTTTTTAGTAATATATGTCTTGTCAAATTGGTAAAACTTGCTATTTGGCTTAAATAGCAACGTTCTTCTTGCCGAATAAGGAAAAAGGAAAATTTGTGCATGTGATAAGTTGGCAAAAATCATTTTGAACCTAATGAAAAAATATATATTTCATTGTGTTTGTTTATTATTAAATTATTGTAAACTTGTCTAAAATATATTTAGTTGGATTAGGATAATTAAATTACGCTTGTTATAATAAGGTCAGGTAAGTTTTCTAAGGTTCTTTTGGTACAAAATTATTTATTTTTACATTAACATATAAACGTATAAGAGAAAATTTTAGAATTAATTTTAAATGAGTTCTTGCTAATTGACCAATTTTACCTATTCGACACGATATATATAATCTGGTTTTTATACTATACATATATGTACCTTGCTGAATTGTCATCCTTATTAAATTGGATTTTTTCAGTGTTTAATGTCATTAATTATTGTAATTTAGTGTTTTATATTAGTTTCTTTTTGCAGAAAGACAAAGTAGGGATGTCCCGTGGCTCGTCTGGTAGACAGCTAAGCCTTCAGTGTCCGTGGTTCGATCCCTGGCATGGGCGGAAATATTCGGCATGTTTCCTTACACCAGCTGTCACTGTTCACCGAACATAAGAACATAAGAACATAAGAAAGGAGGAACACTGCAGGAGGCCTGTTGGCCCATACTAGGCAGGTCCTTTAAAATTCATCCCACTAACAAAACATTTGCCCAACCCAATTTTCAATGCCACCCAAGAAATAAGCTCTGATGTGAAAGTCCCACTCAAATCCAACCCCTCCCACTCATGTATTTATCCAACCTAAATTTGAAACTACCCAAAGTCCCAGCCTCAATAACCCAACTAGGTAGACTGTTCCACTCATCAACTACCCTATTTCCAAACCAATACTTTCCTATGTCCTTTCTAAATCTAAACTTATCTAATTTAAATCCATTACTGCGGGTTCTCTCTTGGAGAGACATCCTCAAGACCTTATTAATATCCAACCATTCATCACACCTTATTAATATCCCCTTTATTAATACCTATCTTCCACTTATACACTTCGATCAGGTCTCCCCTCATTCTTCGTCTAACAAGTGAATGTAACTTAAGAGTCTTCAATCTTTCTTCATAAGGAAGATTTCTAATGCTAGGTATTAATTTAGTCATCCTACGCTGAATGTTTTCTAACGAATTTATGTCCATTTTGTGATACGGAGACCAGAACTGAGCTGCATAATCTAGGTGAGGCCTTACTAATGATGTATAAAGCTGCAGTATGACCTCTGGACTTCTGTTGCTTACACTTCTTGATATAAATCCCAGTAATCTATTTGCCTTATTACGTACGCTTAGGCATTGCTGTCTTGGTTTAAGGTTGCTGCTTACCATAACCCCCCAAAGTCCTTTTCGCAATCTGTATGGCAAAGGGTTTCTACATCATTTAACTTATAAGTACTGGGGTTATGGGCACTCCCAAGTTTTCAGACCTTGCATTTATCTACATTGAACTGCATCTGCCATTTTTTCGAACCAAGAATAGAGTTTGTTTAAATCCTCCTGAAGTTTCATAACATCTACGTTTGAATCAATTATCCTACCTATCTTTGTGTCTCGGCGAATTTTGCTCATATCCCTAGTAATTCCCTCATCAAGATCATTGATATATATTATAAAACAACAAGGGGCCCCAAGACTGATCCCTGTGGAACGCCCCCTTGTTACAGATCCCCACTCGGATTTAACCCCATTTTATGGACACTCTCTGCTTCCTGTCAGTGAGCCATGACTCGATCCACGAGAGCACTTTTCCCTAATGCCATGGGCTGCCACTTTCTTTAACAGTCTATGGTGCGGAACTCTATCAAAAGCCTTACTAAAATCTAAGTAAATAATATACAAATTCTTATTGTGGTCAACAGCCTCAAAAGCTTTTCTGAAGAAAGTTAATAAATTGTTTGACAAGACCGGCCTCTTGTGAATCCATGCTGAGTATCATTAATCAAGCTATGCTTATCGAGATGGCTTCTTATAATCTCAGCTATAATTGGGCTCTAGTAATTTGCCTACAATTTAGGTCAGGCTTATTGGGCGGTAATTTGACGGTAAAAGACTTGTCCCCTGTTTTAAAATAGGAGTTACATTAGCCATCTTCCACATATCAACACTACACCTGTTTGAAGAGATAAATTAAAAATATTAGTTAATGGTTCACAGAGTTCCCCTTTTTCATTCCTTAAGAACCCTTGAAAAAACCTCATCAGGACCGGGCGACTTATTTTGCTTCAGTCTGTCTATCTGCTTCACAACCATCTCACTTTGTGACTGTGATGTTCCATAATTTTTTCTTTTTCTAGCCCACTGTAAAAATTAATTACTGGAATATTGTTAGTGTCTTCCCGTGTAAAAACTGAGAGAAAATAATTATTTAAAATCAAGCACATTTCATTCCTTTGTCAGTAAGGTGCCCATAGTTATTTTTAAGGGGACCTATCTTATCTCTAACTTTTGTTCTATAGACCTGGAAAAAACTTTTTTGGGGTTTGTTTTAGAATCCTAGCAACTTTAATTTCATAGTCCCTTTTAGCTTTTTATCCCCTTTTTTAAAGTTCCTCTTAATGTTAAATATACTGATTCATAAGATGACCCTCACCTCTTTGATACGCCTATAAATTCCTTTCTTATGCCCTAGTAGATATTTGAGCCTATTATTCATCCATTTTGGGTCATTTTTATTTTACTAATTTCTTTATATGGGATAAACGCTCTTTGAGCAGCATTGTATAGTGTTCAGAAAAAATGTCATATTGATAGCTCTCTTCGTTCCCCAGTCAACAGATGATAAGTGTTCTCTAAGCCCATCGTAATCTGCTAAGCGAAAATCTGGGACTGTTACTGAGTTATCGCTACTATCGTACTTCCATTCAATGCTAAATGTAATTGATTTGTGGTCGCTAGCACCCAGTTCCTCTGAAATTTCTAAATTATTAACAAGGGATTCATTGTTTGCCATAACTAAGTCAAGTAGGTTATTTCCCCTTGTAGATTCTGTCACAAACTGCTTCAAAAAACAATCCTGAAATACTTCTAAGAAGTCGTATGATTCTAAATTCCCAGTCAAGAAATTCCAATCAACATTACTAAAGTTAAAGTCTCCTAGAATTACTACATTATCGTGCCTTGTGGCCTTAACAATTTCCTCCCATAGTAGTTTCCCTTGGTCCCTATCAAGTTTGGGGGACGGTATATCACTCCTAAAATCAGTTTTTCATGCCCCTTTGAAAATTCTATCCAAACAGACTCTGTATGTGTTACTTCAGGACTTAATACCCGTTTTTTATGCAACAGTTCAAGCGATCTCGGACATACAATGCCACCCCCCCCTCCCAATACTTCTATCTTCTTGGAACAATTTAAAACCCTGAATATGACATTCCGCAGGCATGTCCCGACTTTTTGAATTAAACCACGTCTCAGTAAGGCAAATACATCAATGTTACCTACACTAGCAACTAATCTCAACTCGTCCATCTTATTCCTAGCACTACGGCAATTAGCATAATAAACATTGAAAGACTGTCCTTTCTCTTTTACCCTTCCTGCTCATTTCTGTTTTTTCTACTAAACCTATTACTGTCCTTATCACCCAAGGTCCCGGGGCTTTTCAATATCTATCTCGTTCTTATTATTACTAGTTCCCCTAGAACTCGTAATATTACTACACTGGGACTTCACTGTTTTCCTGCCAAAACCCATACCACTAACTATTCCTAGTTTAAAGTCCTAACTGCTCCCTCCACTGCAGTTGCCAGTGCTCCCACCCCACACCTAGATAAGTGAAACCCCATCCCTAGCATACATTCACTTCTGCCATAGAAGAGGTCCCAGTTGTCGATGAATGTTACCGCATTTTCCTTACAGTATTTGTCCAGCCAGCAATTGACACCAATTGCCCTGGACAACCATTCATTTCCAACTCCCCTCCTTGGCAAAATACCACATATGAGAGGGTTCCCACCCTTACTTCTAATTTTTTCTATTGCTGACCTATACCTGCTAATCAGGTCCTCACTCCTACGTCTGCCAACATCGTTGCCTCCAGCACTGAGACAGATAATAGGATTGCTCCCATTACCTCTCATGATGTCATCCAGACGGCTAACAATATGTAAGTAATTACAGGGGTGTTAGTTGACTGTTGAGGGTCGCATCCTGGGGGGGGGGTACCTCAGACAGGACTGGGCTTTATTATTAACTGAAGTAGGATAACAGGTGTAAAAGTGATGTGTAAATCAAAAATGTTTTGTAAATCGAAATAGTTGTACCGATGTATCAAAGATTAAGTGGATAAAGCGTATCTTAGACAAGATAGTGACATCTGAAAAGGATTTGACCTGGGTAGTTCACAGGGAACGTAAGTACAAAGTAAGTAGCTTGTGGCTACCTAAGGTACAAGATTAATGTATAATTGCAATTAATGTATAATTGCAATTAATGTATAATTGCCGAGGTGCATCTCCACCTCGAGTGATACCAGGGTAGTGTAATTTGGTAATAAACTAGCTGTGTATATGTACAGTACCTGGCATGATACCAGAGTACTGTATTGCTGCAGTGAATATTAAACTAGCAGTGTATATCTATAGTACCTGGCATGATACCAGAGTACTGTACTGCTGCGGTGAATATTAAACTAGCAGTGTATATCTATAGTACCTGGCATGATACCAGAGTACTGTATTGCTAGGTTAATACTAAACTAGAAGTGTATATCTACAGTATCTGGCATGATACCAGAGTACTGTATTGCTGCGGTGAATACTAAACTAGAAGTGTATACCTATAGTACCTGGCATGATACCAGAGTACTGTATTGCTGCGGTGAATACTAAACTAGAAGTGTATATCTACAGTATCTGGCATGATACCAGAGTACTGTATTGCTGCGGTGAATATTAAACTAGCAGTGTATATCTATAGTATCTGGCATGATACCAGAGTACTGTATTGCTGCGGTGGATACCAAACTAGCACTGTTTAGTGTCATGGAAAACATCGTGTTATATAGTACCTACCATACAGAACTGTTAAAATGTTTAGTATCATACCTTGTAAACATTGGGATTCTTGACCTCGTCAGTGAGGACGTCGCAGGCAGTGTACAAGTCGTTCAGCATTTTAACAATCTTGGACGCACCTTCGATATCAGTGTGTCTCGAGCAGTACTCAGTAAAGCCTACAATTCCTGTCATGATTACCAGTAAACTTTAGTGTGATTATAGGTTAATTATATATAGTACACCTGTATCTCTACTTATTAAAAACAGTGAAAACTTTACGAAAATTTAAGAGATATTTAAAATTATATCATTTGGTATACCAAAAGAAAACATGAGATATATGAATATTTTAAGAAGCAAGCAACCCACTGTACTGAGTTTTAATAAACTTTAAGCAAACTTTGAGAGAGAAATAGCATTAGGGAGAAAGAAGCCAGACTTAAGAATTCATGCAGGCTTGAGGTAATTCTTGAGAGGTATTGTTTGAGAGGGAACGTGGAGGAAAAACGTTGAAAAAATAAGGGAGTTCGACCTTCGAAACTGCTGGGAGGCAGAGGAAAAATTCATGCCCACGAGCAAGAAAAATAAAGAAAAAAGATTAAGCCCATGGATTTTACCAGAGGTATAAAAGAGGCAAACCCTAAAAGTAAATGAACATGAAAAAAATGGAAACCAGAAAATGGAGGAAAACAGAAGCGTGATATGAGCTAGACACGAAAATAAACGATTGTTTGAGACTGACATAGCATTGAAAACTAAATCCAAACCAAAGCTACTATACAGCCACATCAGATGGAAAACAGTGAATAACCAGGTAATAAGACTGAAGACTCAGAGCTAAACAAAAAATTTAAGGAATGATACTCAGAGGAAATAAGAACATTACCGGAAAGTGAGAGGCAGAGTGCACCAGCTGGAACTGGACACGATACACACACAAGTAGAAGGAAACTGTTGAGCGAGTTAGATATGTCGAAGGTAATGGAACAAGATAATATATCTTTGGAGCAGATAATATGTACCCCATTAGTTCCTCCCCCCCACCACACACACACACACAGGTTCGGGGAGGGGAGTTACGATTCGACTCCTGCAAGCACAAATAGGTAAGTGTACACACAGAAAGGGGGAAGGAGGGGAGGGGAGGAAGATTGAAGTGGGAGAGAGAGTGAGGAGGGAGAGTGAGGAGGGAGAGTGAGGAGGGAGAGTGAGGAGGGAGGGAGGGCGAGGGGTCTGTGAGGTGGTTGGTACAATGGATTTGAAGCCTGAAATGAGGGAAATGTCAGGGCAGAATTTCTTCCATTTAAGATGTGGTTAATGGCTTTGCTAAGACCATTTACGTAACTTTTCCTGTATATGAACTAAAATAATCTCATTCACAGTCATTACCTGAGAAAAGTAGTGTTACCACCTCGTACCTACGAGGGGGTACCATTCTCTTGTGCCTTAGCTCGTTGGCAATACTGATTGGCAGCACAGAATACAGCAGTCTGTTGATAAATATAATTATTATTATTATTTATTTTTTTCCTTCAGGCTGAGTCATTTTTCTAAACCTACCATGGTCTATTTTTCTTAAATTTTCTTAACATGAACACAGTACTTTAATATTTTACATCCCGTGAGAAATTCAAGCAAATATGAATATATTAGGAAAATATATACCGTTAAGGCCCTAATTAGTTGACATTAAAGTGTAGTGAAGATTACATTGTGTGTGTTGGGAGGGGAGGGAGGGGAGGGGAGGGGAGGGGGGGGGGTTGAGACAGTGGTTACAGTGACCTTCATACAGTTGGAACCTATCATGACTTACAGTATCAACAGTAAAATAATATTCCTCCTCCTCATCTTCCACTGTTCTTCTCTGTATTGGACTGAAGAAGCCAGAATGATTCCCAGATATTGCACAGGATTCTCATTCTTAATCAATTTGATGTTTTTTTAAGCTATTTACATCACAATATCCTTGTATTGAAGGGAAACATTTATCTGTCATTCTTCCTGGTCAATGTTTGTGACTTAAACTTTCAGCATTTAGTGGCGTCCTCTTCGAAAATTACATTTATTTAAAATAAATTCTGTATTTTTTCCATACTGTGTACAAACTTCTAGGACGTCCTGTTCTAGCAGATGTAACTTCTGATCCACATTTAGTATATATAAACGAGCTAGAGAGAATCCTGCTTATTTTTTTTAAGATATGTAAAGTTATAATAGGCTTAGGAGCTAATTAAACCCACTCTTTATGCAACTGGGTTGATAGAATTACTGAAGTAATTCTTTCAAGAATTACTGAAGCAATTCTTTCAAGAATTACTGAAACAATTCTTTCAAGAATTTTCTGAAGCAATTCTTTCAAGAATTACTGAAGCAATTCTTTCAAGAATTACTGAAGCAATTCTTTCAAGAATTACTGAAACAATTCTTTCAAGAATTACTGAAGCAATTCTTTCAAGAATTACTGAAGCAATTCTTTTAAGAATTACTGAAGTAATTCTTTCAAGAATTACTGAAGCAATTCTCTCAAGAATTACTGAAGCAATTCTTTCAAGAATTACTGAAGCAATTCTTTCAAGAATTACTGAAGTAATTCTTTCAAGAATTACTGAAGCAATTCTTTCAAGAATTACTGAAGCAATTCTTTCAAGAATTACTGAAGCAATTCTTTCAAGAATTACTGAAGCAATTCTTTCAAGAATTACTGAAGCAATTCTTTCAAGAATTACTGAAGTAATTCTTTCAAGAGTCTGGAATTTTTCAAACTTACTAAGCATTGCTTCGAAACTTGACAATTCCAAAATTTTTCTTTAGAATTACTGAATCAACTCTTCTGGCATCCCTGTGTTTATTGAAGCGATTTTTCGAATATGAAAGCAATTCTTTCATGAATTCTAACATTTCTTCAAAATTCTAATCAATTCTCTAGAATTACTAATTCTTCAAAATCTGTTTCAAAATACAATATTTTCCTGCTTCACTCTTATTCTGTTATTGGACTTTTCCTTCCTAGTCCCATTTTAAGTTAATATTTTGCTTATGTCCCTTTAATTTGACATATTTTACTCCATATTCCCATTTTGTAAATATTTTCCTTTTGTACTAATTGGACAAATTTTTCCTTGCATAGTCCCCTATTTGCTTAAATATTTTCCTTTATGTCCCTAATTGGACATTATTTTCCTTCCATAGTCCCTATTTGCTTAAATATTTTCCTTTATGTCCCTAATTGGACATTATTTTCCTTCCATAGTCCCTATTTGCTTAAATATTTTCCTTTATGTCCCTAATTGGACATTATTTTCCTTCCATAGTCCCTATTGCTTAAATATTTTCCTTTAAGTCCCTAATTGGACATTATTTTCCTTCCATAGTCCCCATCTGGATAAATAATATTTTCCTTTGTCTTTAATTGGGAATTATTATCCTTGGAGAATATAAATGTTGATGTCCAGATTGTTAATTGAATCGGTTTTAACTATCAATCTGCTGAGTGTTATGTCGATTAATTTACAAGGGTTTTTAATCTCCCTGAAATTGTTAATATAAATTTATTATTGTGCTACTATGTAACTGTGTAGCAGGGAGTGTAACAGGGAGGCAGGGAGAGTTCCAGGCAGGGAGTGTAGCAGGGAGGCAGGGAGAGTAGCAGGGAGGCAGGGAGTGTAGCAGGGAGGCAGGGAGAGTACCAGGCAGGCAGGGAGTGTAACAGGGAGGCAGAGAGAGTACCAGGCAGGGAGTGTAGCAGGGAGGCAGGGAGAGTAGCAGGGAGGCAGGGAGTGTAGCAGGGAGGCAGGGAGAGTTCCAGGCAGGGAGTGTAGCAGGGAGGCAGGGAGAGTTCCAGGCAGGGAGTGTAACAGGGAGGCAGGGAGAGTAGCAGGGAGGCAGGGAGTGTAACAGGGAGGCAGAGAGAGTACCAGGCAGGGAGTGTAGCAGGGAGGCAGGGAGAGTACCAGGCAGGCAGGGAGTGTAACAGGGAGGCAGGGAGAGTACCAGGCAGGGAGTGTAGCAGGGAGGCAGGGAGAGTACCAGGCAGGCAGGGAGTGTAACAGGGCGGCAGGGAGAGTAGCAGGGAGGCACGGAGCATAGCAGGCAGGCAGGGAGTGTAACAGGGCGGCAGGGAGAGTAGCAGGGAGGCACGGAGCATAGCAGGCAGGCAGGGAGTGTAACAGGGAGACAGGGAGAGTAGCAGGGAGGCACGGAGCACAGCAGAGAGGCAGGGAGTGTAACAGGGCGGCAGGGAGAGTAGCAGGGAGGCACGGAGCACAGCAGGCAGGCAGGGAGTGTAACAGGGCGGCAGGGAGAGTAGCAGGGAGGCACGGAGCATAGCAGGCAGGCAGGGAGTGTAACAGGGCGGCAGGGAGAGTAGCAGGGAGGCACGGAGCATAGCAGGCAGGCAGGGAGTGTAACAGGGCGGCAGGGAGAGTAGCAGGGAGGCACGGAGCATAGCAGGCAGGCAGGGAGTGTAACAGGGCGGCAGGGAGAGTAGCAGGGAGGCACGGAGCATAGCAGGCAGGCAGGGAGTGTAACAGGGAGGCAGGGAGAGTAGCAGGGAGGCACGGAGCACAGCAGAGAGGCAGGGAGTGTAACAGGCGGCAGGGAGAGTAGCAGGGAGGCACGGAGCACAGCAGGGAGCAGGGACTGTAACAGGGCGGCAGGGAGAGTAGCAGGCAGGCAGGGAGTGTAACAGGGAGGCAGGGAGAGTACCAGGCAGGGAGTGTAACAGGGAGGCAGGGAGAGTACAAGGCAGGGAGTGTAGCAGGGAAGCAGGGAGAGTACCAGGCAGGCAGGGAGTGTAACAGGGCGGCAGGGAGAGTAGCAGGGAGGCACGGAGCATAGCAGGCAGGCAGGGAGTGTAACAGGGCGGCAGGGAGAGTAGCAGGGAGGCACGGAGCATAGCAGGCAAGCAGGGAGTGCATGAGGGTCAGGGCTGAATAAAAATTCTATTAAAAATGATCTGAAGTTAATAGCTTTAACGGAAACGAAATATATAATGGGAATCAGAGGATACTACAGACACTTTAGTAAATTATAATGTTGTTTTAAGACTTGAGACACTTATGCGACGTAGAAAATGGCACAATACCGTGACTGGAACAATACACAAATAACCCGCACGTAGAAGAGAGGAGCTCACGACGACGTTTCGGTCCGACTTGGACCATTTACAAAGTGTGACTTTGTAAATAGTCCGGGTTATTTGTGCACTTATGCAACATATGGGAATCTTTACTGAAGAAACGTTTCGCCACACAGTGACTTCATCAGTCCAGTACAAAGCAAGAAGGTATAAGGACTGATGAAGTCACTGTGAGGCGAGACGTTTTTTCAATAAAGATTCCGATATGTTGCATAAGTGTCGCAGTTCTTCAACTTATCGTTTTTCAAAACCATTCATCACAGATAATGTTATTTTAGTTGGATGGGTAATATAAAGACCCTCAGATAATAGCAACATACTAAAACAAGGTTTTCTCAACAGTAGCTGTGTTTGATTTGCTGATTTTTGTTGCAAAATTTCATACTGTTTTCCTCTGTTTTGAGTATTATATATAACACACAATGTTATTTTAGTTACCCACAAAATCTTGAAATGGTGAACTGTCCACTTGTCCCCTGCCACATTTTTTAAAAACTAATTAATGGCATATCAAGAAACTCAATATAATTAACGTGCCAACGTAGAAATTAATAACTTTTGATCAAAAATAACTTTATTCAGTTACTCTAATTGAAGCACATTCTCTTGCATATGCATAATTATTATAATAATAATATTTCTACAAGTAAACGATGCTAACTAAAGCTGACATCAATTATCTGGTTATACACAGCACTTCCCGTAACTTAATTTTGTCGCCGGGATGTGACCCACAACAATCGACTAACACCCAGGTACCTACTTAATATTAGGTGAACAGGGACAACAAGTGTCGTAATGAAACACAACCAGTGTTTCCACTCGTACCGGGGATCGAACCACGGACCTCATTGTGTGAGATGAGTGAGCTACCAACCGAGCTACGGGATAATGCTTGTAGGCAAACCCCAGAGGCTGGTTTAATTCCTATCTCTAGCCATATATTTGTGTTTTTTTTTTTAGATAATTCTGATTAAAAATTAATTCCACATGAAAATTCCCATTAATCACGATAACTTTATGAAATAACAAAGAACTCAATTATATTATTAAGAAAATGGTTCTTAATCAGAATTTGGTTAAGAAATGTATGTAGTATAGACGAAGCCCCCCCCCTCTCAAAAAATATATATAGGTAGAGATTGTATTGTTAATATTTCCATTTCAAATTAATATTTTAGTTGTACCACCAATTATTTTGGCTCACTTGTCAGTTTTCTGTCGTTCACTCTCCAACTCCCTGTGTGTGTGTTGGAGTTTGTCCGTCAAGATCTCCAAATTGGTCGTCAGATTGTATTCAGCCTCGAATTTCTCGCTCAGGAGGACGAGGTCTCGCGTAGCATCGTGTAGTGGAATGTCTGAGAGGTAGAGACCTCGCCTGTAAAGGTCGTCCAGGTTTAACACAGAGGGAGAGCAAACGAAGAGCATGATGTCTGTTTCCGGCAGATAGATCATTTGGCCCTGGAAAAAAAGATAAATCGATGATGGTGCCCATGTATATATCCCATGCAGGTGGATATATACATGGGATATATGCACTGAGAAGCGTAAACACGATGAGTTTTCTTTAATTTAGTCATAATTTTAGGTATAAAAATATTCTTGGCTAGTGGTGTACAGGTGAGGTGCGAATGGAATCATTATTTTTTTTGTTTTTGGTCCAATTTTAATGAAAATTTTATTGCGATTAAAGCAGCATTTGAAGCCTACACACTGTTTGTAGTGACTTTTTGCCCTTTTTGCACTCTTTGTAGTGACTTTGTAGTGCCCTATCTGTAGGGCATAAAACTCTACCTTATCTACAAAATTGGTAAGATGTACAATGCTCTAGTTAACATCAGATCAAAGATAAGGGATAGATAATCTTGGTACTAACCCATTTGAGCGAAAATATCAATAGACTGAATAATAAAAATTGTTGAAGTTCATTTTTTTAAGGACTTTTCTCGGAAAAAAAATCAATAAAAACAAAACGATTACAAATATCGCAAATCCCCTGTGCATGGTAGTAGAAACATCATTACTCAATAACGTGTGCAAAAATGATGATACTCCTATTAACACTTTTCGAAATAAAGGAAAATAATGTCAACCTATTCCTGAGTTATACATATATTACGTTTTCTGTAAAACTCTACGGTCATGGTGCGCCACACTTCAGTATGTTGCACCACATAACACATTTTATTTATTTATTTATTTATTTATTTAGAAATTTTAGCATACAAACAGAGGTACAAAAAATACAGGAAAGAGCAGCATGCCAAAGCCACTTATATGCATAGCATTACGGGCTGGCTTAAAATTAACTTAAGATTAACTAAGCAATGATGAAATCAGTGATAAAACATTATTGTAAACAGATAAGTATAAAATACAAATGAGTATTACAAAGACAGGTCATATGGTTGTATGCATTGCTGTTCATTCAGTATAATGGAATATTCTGTTTGGTAGTGTATTTAAAAAAATAACAAGTTAGGTTAACATTTGTGTGATATAATTGTGAGTAACATTTAGGATATACAATTTATATGGTTCAGTTATTAGTATTTATTGTTTTGAGTGAGTAAGTGAACTTTGAGAAGAGACTTGAATTTATAAACAGGTAGTGTTTCTTTTATATTTACAGGTATGAATTCCAGATTTAGGGCCTTTTATGTGCATTGAGTTTTTGCATAGCGTGAGATGGACACGAGGAACATCAAAGAGTGATCTGTGTCTTGTGTTATGGTCATGTGTTCTGTTGAGGTTGGCAAGGAGATGTTTGAGGGAGGGTTAATATCAGAGTTAAGTGTTCTATGTATGTATAAGTGCAATAATAAGTATGGATGTTTTGTATGGTGAGTAGGTTGAGTGTTTTGAATATTGGTGGAGTGTGCTGCTGTAGTGAGAATTTGTTATCATTCTAACTGCAGCCTTTTGTTGGGTAATTAGTGGTCTGAGATGGTTAGTTTGTTGGTTGAGCCCCATGCACAAATTCCATAGGTGAGATAGGGGTAAATAAGAGAGTGATATAGGGCCAGGAGGGCTGACTGTGGAACATTAGTACGTATCTTCGATAGTATGCCTACAGTCTTGGAAATTTTCTTAGAAATTTGTTGTATATGTGTATGAAATTTGAGTCTATTATCGAGGTGGATTCCTAAGAATTTTCCCTCTGTTAGCTTTATGATAGGTGATTCGTTATACGTTATGTTAAGAGTACATCTGTAGCTCTGCTACCAAACTGAATGAAGTAGGTTTTGTCAATGTTTAGTGTAAGTTTGTTAGTCCTCATCAGGTAGATATTTCTGTAATTCGGTGTTTACAGTATTGGCTAGGTGACTGGGCTCGGGTGAGAGAAGACGTATGTAGTGTCATCTGCAAAAAGTGTGGGTTTGAGTAATTGCGAAGCATTTGTAGGTCATTTATGTATAGGAGAAAGGAAGGGGCCAAGGACACTTCCCTGTGGGACCCAACTGTAATTGGTTGTGCGGAAGAGCTTGCCCATTTGCGTACACATATTGGCTTCTGTTGCTGAGGTAAGACTTGAGGTAGTTGAGGGAGTGCCCTCTAATACCATAGTGTGACAATTTTACGTGGAGCAAGTCATGGTCAACTGTATCAAAGCTTTACGTAAGTCAATGAAGATCCCCAGTGGGACTTCTTTTTCTTATTGCAGTTGTATATATGTTCTAGCATGTGTATAATAGCATCATTAGTATTTTTATTAGGCCTGAATCCAAATTGGCAGGGGTTGAGAATGTTATGGGAGATGAGGTAGGAGTGGATTCGTTTATGAATTAATTTTTCGAAGATTTTTGAGAGAGGGTGTAAATTGGATACTGGCTATAGTTATTCAACTCTGTTTGGTCTCCTCCTTTATGGATCGGGGTGACCTTGCTATTTTGAGAACTGTAGGGAAGGTGGAGGATTCAATGGATTTGTTAAAGAGTGTTGCAATGATTGGTGATAGTACTTGTGACGCTTTTTTGTATATAAAGGGTGGTAAGGTATTTAAATCTCCTGCCTTGTTTTTCAGTGCGTTGATAATAAGGGAGACTTCGTATGGGTTAGTCGGAGCTAGGAACAGTGTGTTCGGGTAGTTGCCAGTGAGGTAGTCATTTGGTGGGGTATCTGAGCTTGGGATATTATTGGCAAGGTTTTGACCTATAGTGGAGAAGAAATCATTGAGTCTGTTTGCTGTTTCTGTTGGTGGGAGTTGGGGTTCATCTGATTTTGCTAATTTTATTTCGCTATGTCGTGATATCTTTTTTGTTCCCAGAATTTCTGATAGGGTCTTCCAGGTCTTTTTTATATCACCTCGTAAGTTGGATAATCTGTTCTCATAATACAATTTTTTTGCCCTTCTTATCAGGCTGGTTAGGATTGACGAGTAACGTTTTGTTTAGTCTCTGGTTATGTGACCCATTCTGTACTGTTTTTCATATCGGTGTTTTGTATTTATGGATTTGAGAATGCTGGGTGTTAGCCAGGGACTGTTCAGTCTCTTAGCTGTCATTTGTTTTAGTTTTTTTAGGGCAGTGCTTGTTATAAAGGTATTGGGTCTTTTTTAGAAAATTATTAAAACATTCGTCAATATCTGTATAGATTTCTAGCTCAGTGTGCAGTCAATGTTTGTTACTGCTGTTGTGAAGTTATTAATGGCTGCCTCACTGTGAAGTCTGAAGGTGACTTAGTAGTGTCTGGGGTATTTTACCAAGAGTTGTTATGAGGAAAGTAAGGTAGTGGTCTGTGGTATTATCTGTAATTATGCCTGATTTTAAAGGGGATATGGTGTTGGTCCAGATGTGGTCAAGTAGGGAAACATTAGTCTCTGTAACTCTTGTAGGTTTTGTTACTGTTGGTAGCAACATGCAGTTACTCATTGTGTTTGTGAATTCAGTAACGTGTGGGTCTGGTCTTGCAGGAGATTTATATTGAAGTCACCTGAGAGTAGTAAGTGATCTTTGTTCATGCGTGCATCAGTTATCTACTTCCTAGGTTTTGACTAAATTGGTAATGTTTGATTGTGGAATTCTGTAGATGTTTATCACTGTGAGAGGTTTTTGTAGGTATTTTGGATTGAATTTAGCTATTATATTTTCCCCATGTTCATCCCTTGTGCAAGTATTAGTGATACATTCTAGTTGGTCTGAGTAGTATATAGCTGTGCCACCCCCTTGTTGGTCTGGCCTACAGTTGTGTATGGCTGTGTAACCAGGAATGGCATAGACATCTGTAGTATCAGGCTTTAACCAGGTTTCAGTTAGTGTAATAATGGACATATTGGCATGCAAGGAATTTAGTAATGCTAGGAGGTCATCATAATGCTTGCTTAAACATCTGATATTGTAGTTAAAGATAGTTATGTTGTTGTTGGCTCTGAGAAGTGCCTTTGATTGTTCTGCTGTGCAGTTATTACAGTAACTGTTTGAATCATTTAAGTCATTAAATAAGAGGTTGGTATCAGGATCAATGTTTGTAATCATAAGATTTGTAGTGAATCTATAGTTAGAATTAAGTAAAAAATAAAGTAAATATTCTAAAGCCAAAAAAAAATAGCACCTGAATTATTTAACAAATGTAAAAAATAATGAGCTAAGGTAATTTTTTAAAGCTAAAATAAAGGAGACAATATAAAAGGGACTAAAATAATTTGTGGTGAACAAATAAAGTGATGATCAAATAATGGAGCTTGGGAATTTGATAGTAGGCAGTACTTTAAAGGTAATTCTTTAAAGTTAGAATTATAATATAAAATTATAATATAAAAGGGACTAATATAAGTTGTGGTGAACAATAAAGTGGTAATCAAATAAATGAGCTTTGGAGTATAATGGCAAAATAGTGAACTTATTAACTTTAGCACCTGAGAATAGCACCTTGATTAGTTTAACAATTGCGAATATATGATCTAAGGTAGTTATATAGAGCTAAAATAAAGGACAAAAAATATATAAGGGACTACAATTGAGTAATGGTAAACAAGTTAAATGGATAGATAGTCACTATGAAATAATATTGGTTTAGGAGTAAGATCTGATTTGTAATATTAAATAAGTTGAGCAGTTTATTGCACAATAAAAGTAAAAAAAAAAATGAGGTAGTTGGTACTAGCTAGCAAAAGATAGTATTGGTACTTGCAAAAAAGTAATTGGAATATACAGTAATTGCACACACAATAAAAAGTGACTAAAAAAACAAGTAGTGGTAAACAAAATTAAATGGACAGGTAAGAACAATGAATAATGGTAATGTCTTGGTTATAATATGATAGTAAGATGGTAGACAGGTACACAGGTACACAGGTATACAGGTACAAAGGATAATATAAAGGTTGGAGTTGAATATGCAAACTTGAAAATTTGGCAACAAAATGTTATGGGATGTAAAAAATAATGTTTAATGTACAAAAGTAAAATTGACTGGTAGTAAATATGGTGTTTAATAAAATTTTAGTAAGTAATAATGATTACAAAAAAGTGAAAAAGTAATGTTTATTTCATTCAACATTGCACTGGTAGTTATACTAGAGGTTATATGGCAGTACAAGGTAATTAAGAGTACTCTAAGATAGTAAATGTGGTATTAAAACAGGTAGAGGTAATTAGACAAGTAATGGTTATTAAATGTCAAAAATGTTAAGAGTAAATTGAAATTATAGTAAAAATGATAATTATTAATTTTAGTAAGTAATATCAATTGATAGTATTTAAAAAAATGAGGTAGTATATGGACAGAGAAAGCATCAATTCAGCTAATGTTTAAGCAAACAATAGTAAATAAGAAAATTACATAAGGTGACTTATGCTTATAGTAAAATCACAAAATGAGGTAGTTGATTATTTAAATACTAAGAGATTGTACAATGAAATTTGAACAATAATTGAGCAAAACATACACTACACTACGTAGGCTTTTAAGTTGGACATTGTTTAGTTATTCTCTGTAAGATTAGTATCCCTGAGAAATCGTGATAGATCATTCTCGTTCGTGATTGTGTACAGTTGACCTACATTTGTTTTCCTAACAAGAATTTTCCCATCCGGTATGAAGCATTGGTGTATTGTGTCGTTATTCTCCCGCTTAAGTTTTCTGACTCTATACAGGAGGTTCTGACTTTTTTGGTAAGACACTCGTTTATGTATACCTTTTTCTTTCCTTTAATAGATGCAATAATTAAGTCTTTTTTCCTGTCATGTGAGTTGAATCTAAGCATAACACTTTTTCTACCATGGGATCCTAGTAACCTGGCTTCTTTTATTTCAGACTCTGGTACAATAACACTTGTTTGGTCCTTTATGATCTGCAGAGTAATTTCTTTACTGTTTGTTTGGTTCATATCACTGGGAAAAAGTGGACTGTTAACTATTACTGCGTCCGATAGTTTATCTTGTTCAGTTTTATCTTCTTGGAGAGCAAAGTAGTCACTGAACTGGTTATCTAAGTTGTTCTTCCATTCTTTTACTGCTTCTTCAACCTTTGTATTAAGAGATATTATTTGTTGGGCATGGCTATCTATGACTGTCTGGATGGTCTTGTCACAGTTTGTCATTCCTGGTGTTGATAACTTTTGTTCAAGACTGAGGATTTTGTTCTCGAGTTGTGTCATCCTGGTGTCTTGTTTTGTTAGCGTCTCTCGAAGATTCATATTTTCAATAACTAAGTTGGAGATGCATGACTTTAGGGTATCTGGATCGTTGGTCATACCTGAGAGACTACTTGGTAGGTTGAATCCGGGGAAGAGAGGGGAGGATGGGCTGGTGGCAGCCATGTTTGTTGTTATTGTTGTGGTGTCGCCTTGAGCGGTGTTGTGAGGGGTGGTTGCTGGGCCGGCGTCCTCCTGGCTACACTTGTTGAATAGTTGATTTTTCGGCGTTTTCTTGCTGGCCTTGGTGCTGTTTCCTCTTAGATTGCGCCTCATAATACTACAGGAATTGTTGTTGTTAAGAAGAAGTTGTAGTTATACAAAATTTAAGGTTACGTTGTTCGGCTGGCAGCGGGGTGTTGCTTTCGGTTTGTGGGCAGTCTTCCTTTGATCTCTATTATGTTCGATTTGTAGGTTTCACTGTTGGTAATCTTTGGTCATTCTGGGTGCTACGTTGGGTAGTGCAGTTTTGCATGTAACTAGGTCATCATAGGAGCATTGGAAGCTCTGATAGTTGGAGAAAAGTACGGAGCTCGGAGGTCGCTGCTGCCGCTGCCGCTGCCGGATGATCATTATGTTGACAACCCACAGGTGACTGAGCTGTTTTCACTCCCTGCACTTGAATGGAGTCCTCAGAGAAGTTGCAATGCAGTATATTTAGAATGAAACAATCATAAAAATTGTAATTTTGGGAGTAAAACAAAAACACAAATTGGCATCATGTCTTTCTGATGACAGCAAGAACAAAAAACTTACGTTTTTGAAAAAAACATACTTAGAAATATAAGTTGATTGCATCAACATGTTGCCAGAATTATTCATCATGTTTCAGTATTTTTCAGAAAGATACCATTTTTACCATAATTTTTAAATTTGCCTTTATTTTTCCTGAAACGTTTCTTCCGCCCCTTAATGACCTTTGTGTCGAAAATTATTATTAAATTTATTAATAATAAAACACTAGTTTGCACCCGAATCTTTAGTGTCAAATATTTCCTAAACAAAATATTTTCAATCAAATATTTTCACTTTATTTGTGAAAGTTACAGCTATGTTGTCAGGTGTTATTGTAAAAATGTGATTTTTACCAGAAGTTGAAGCTTGAACAAGTATTGACACTCCTGATCTATGAGTAACGATGGTGCATTGAGGAATCAGATACAGAAACAGACATCTTCGAAAATCTACAGAATTATGTGCCGATAGTTTGACAATTTAAATCTTAAAATGCTAAATTTTTAGACCGTAATGTCGGCGTACTATTGTGTTTCTAAAAGCTCACTCATCTTTGTTAGATAAATACGTGTATGAGAGAGAATATTGGGATTTGAGTGGGACCTGCGCGTGAGTTAATAGTTATCAAAGTTAGTTCCTTGGGTAGCACTGAAAATGGGTTTGACAGATACTTTTCTTAGTGAGTTTAGGTTTGATAAGGACGTGCCTAGTATAGGCCAGTAGGCCTGCTGCAATGTTCCTCCTTATGTTTTTATATAGGTCGTTTCTTAGTAGTCTTTCACAGAATGTTTATATAGTCATCTTATTGTAGATAAGCAGCCCCACTCGTTCAGGGACTGATTCCCTATTTTCACTTACACGGTTGCTCGATTCGACATACATTATTGCATGTAACATAATAGTTTACACGAGACGATGCAATGCAATTAGAAAATCCCTTTGTACATGTTTATGCTATTGAAATATTGTTTTTGTGTACTTTAAACACTCGTAATAAGTCTACCTCTTTCTAGACACAAGTTTATATTTCCACTTACACGATCTAACTTTATTGTATTTAGATGCTTTAGCTGACTATATCCACTTACTCAGCCATATATCGCTGGCAAATTTTGTTGTTACACAAACTAATTAAATTCAAATTGATAGATTCTCTTAGCTTAACCATAAACATGATCCACTCACATCCATTCATATTGTGAGTAGATCATGTTATTCATCTTTTTTTCCTCATTTTAACTATTTTCCTTATCTTTACCTCCTTCTCTCGTATGCATATTCTGTTGTTTTTTCTCCGTTTGATATATTAACTCCCTATAACTTTTTTTTCTGTATTTATATCTCTCCCTTAATAGTGTATTAACAGCTTTCTGGTTTTACATTATTCCAACATCATTATTCCATCTGTTCTAACCCCATCGCTGGTTTTATATCACTAAAGGTTAGGGTAAGTTAAAATCAGTATGGAAAATATAATCAAATATACTGTACGTTACCAAAAATTCATAAATATTATATAATAGTATTTATTGTAAGGTCTTGAGTCAAGGTAATATACCAGAGAAGTTTACTAAGACGATTAGTTGCATTATTATTCTCAGCTCGTGAGGGACTTCGTTTCCTTACCTTAAGTCCTGAGACAACCTTGATCGGGACCCAAGTCACGGTTGTCACCACGTGTTGAGATCAATCCTTCCTTGGTGCGGAGGACATAGATGGTGTTGATGTGAGACAGAATGTTGTCGAAACTCAGTTCCATATGGGGACGCACCTGCCAAAGTAACAACGTATATCATATTTGACCAACATGATCTCTGGTAGAGGCGTTAAGCTGGGGTGTCATAGCAGGCAATATCTTAACATCGGTTATTACCATAATGAAAAGCAGTATTTTTTCTTGAGCTTTCGTGATCTCTCACATAATCAAGGAACAGTTAAGAAAAAAAAAGAAACGAAGATTTATAGAGCCAAGATGTAACCTCGCATATACATAAAGTGGGTTGCTAATGATCTTCCTGAGCATGACAGAAAAAATTACTGTTCTGAATTTTTTTGTTATTATGAATGAACCTAATTTATACAATCCTGGACTTATATTAAAACTGTAATCATTACTATTTTTGATGAAGCTCAAGGCCTTAGTCACTAATTTTTAATAATCAGTATTATGTTAATATTTGCCACAAAACCATAGTAAAAAGTATAGGAAGAGAGCATGGAGGATAAAGGCACTGTGCAGGAGCACGACGCCAACTGAATTATAAACAAGCCGGTGCGTTTTACTTCAGAAAAACGTTCATAAACTGGGTCAGCTTTCTCTGAACAAAATTCTGGACGCCATTATGAGGTCAGGTTCGTACGAACACTGAGATTCCACTTCATTTCTTTCAATTAATGATATTCTTGTTTTAACTTTCTCAGTCATTTGAAAATAAATGGGATGGTTAAAATCTGTTGCATGAATAAACTTCTAATGCTGTGAACATGACTCACGAGTGGAGTTTTGAGGCTCTGATCGTGGGTTCTATCCCCGTCCGTGGTATGGTTTCTAATGCTGTTTTTATGTTGCTGTAATCATATTTCAAAACTTTCCCAGTTTTTTCCATACCCCAGACGGATGAGAGTGACCATCAAGCTTGGGTTAGGCGCCTGTACTTATCTGGGATATGGCTCAGTGTCTTAAGTACTGCGTACTTTGATGCAGAGTGTGCATGTTCAAATCCTCCTATGGACTGAGAGATGTTGTTTGTAAATAATTTCACTCGTTTGCGAATTGCTAATCATTTCAAAACCTCTTTCGAAATTAACCACATGTGGCAGAATTTGATGAAATGACATGTCACTTGCCTGGTTTTCCAGGGCATTGGAGTGACCGTGTAGCTCGGCTAGGTGCCCATCCTTGAGTGGCTTAAATATTCCTTACTTTGATGCAGTGTGTGCATGTTCGAATCCTGCTGTGGACTGAAAGATAATGATAATATATATTTTATATAAAAAACACAGGGCTAGTTGAATGATAGCTCTAGGTCTTTCATGTTACAATCGACGCATCATGAGCTCGCAGTGTTGTAGCAGGAAGTCCAAGTTGAAAGTTCGGGGAAAACATTTTAGCTGAAATGAGGTAAGGAGGCAGGAGATGGTAGTTGTCCCAGGCATACCAGTGCCAATTGCCAGAAACATAAAGAATTAAAGCATTAAGACACAGCCCACAGTCAATGATCATGTAGTAATGACCTAGCGAAATTAACATTAACATTAATGACATGATAATTATCAGGAAGTTGGTCAGACTTCGATATGATATAAGAGACTTTAAACTCTGAATATACTTGTATCTGGCAGTTATCTTAGGAAAATTCCGTTATATTAAGGAAACGGGGCTAAGGCCGACTCAAAACAAAAGAGATTCGTCTATAGTTTATCCAGAGGGAGACATCTAAAATCACAGACTCTTACCACACGTTGGTCTAACAGAAAGGCCCTATTTCTTCTTCGTAGGAATCCGGCTTCAGGTTATGCACGATCTCCTCAGTTTTAATAAACGAATAGTTTTGAATAATCCGAAACAATTATTATATGAGCGTTTATCATGCTTTATAATTGCAGATTTTAAAATATTTCTTTCCAGCCATAAGGTACAGGTTCCAGCCGTGAGACACCCTCGTATCCGTGGATTACGTTGTCGCTGTTACAGTCATCCGCTGTTTACATCGGTCCGGAAAGATTACTATTTGAGGTTCCATTTTTATTTATCGTCCGATTTCATTACTTTTTTACTAAAAGTGCACTGCCAAAAGTCGTGTGTGTTGTCAGCAGTAGCAGTAGTGGCAGGACGAGCAGCAGCACCAGTAGTAGGAGCAGCAGGAGGCTGCTGCTCATAAGGTGTCAGTGCTTTGGGTGGGCGATCGGATTTTTACTCCATACCTGTGCAATGGCGTTTATTATTATTCGTCTCACATCAGATTTGCATCATCAGCGTAGAGAGAAAAAGGACTCGATGCCATCCGGTATATCGCTCACATAAATGAGACAGAACACTGGTTCTAATACCAGTCTGTGGTAGTGGGGGGGGGTTATTTTATTATTTATTGCTAGTAATGTCTTATTGTGCATAATTTATCAATAAAACTTCATCATATTTATATAATCTAACAGCCTCAAAGAAGAGAATAAACGTCTTTCACGGAAAACTCTTAAGGTTTCTCCCAGGAGCTGAGAATTTTCTTCTACCATCCCCTTTATGCTATGTTTGTGAACTTTATTTAGAAACGCGATAAACTGAAATAAGAAATACAAAGAGAAGGAGAAATATGTGCCTGACATCTCAGAGCCTACATCTCAAATACTTCATCCAGTTCCCCGACAGTGGGTTGTGTGCCCGGAATGCTGAAGGCGTTTTTCTTGTGGATCGCAACACTGAGTCTTTGGAAAAGGAAGCTGGTTGCTCTGGGATCCTTTGTTACAGTGATGAGTTTTTCACTTAACTATTGGAAGCAATTGTACAGCATACTTGCCCCATGCTACGAGGGGTCTTCCATGCTACGAGGGATCTTTCATGCTACGAGGGGTCTTTCATGCTACGAGGGGTCTTTCATGCTACGAGGGGTCTTTCATGCTACGAGGGGTCTTTCATGCTACGAGGGGTCTTCCATGCTACGAGGGGTCTTCCATGCCACGAGGGGTCTTCCATGCCACGAGGGGTCTTTCATGCCACGAGGGGTCTTCCATCCCACGAGGGGTCTTCCATGCCACGAGGGGTTTTCCATGCCACGAGGGGTCTTCCATGCCACGAGGGGTCTTCCATGCTACGAGGGGTCTTCCATGCTACGAGGTGTCTTCCATGCCACGAGGGGTCTTCCATGCCACGAGGGGTCTTCCATGCTACGAGGGGTCTTCCATGCCACGAGGGGTCTTCCATGCTACGAGGGGTCTTCCATGCCACGAGGGGTCTTCCATGCTACGAAGGGTCTTCGGAGCTACTGGGAAGAAGTTATAATATGATGTCAGCCCTCTGCAGTTGTTAATTTATTAAGGTTTCCAGTATACATTGTACTACATTGGCGAAACCTCTTTCTAAATGAAGATACTCAGATATTATACAGGCGTCTCTTTCATCAACTTCTCGGTACTGTTTACCAATAATATCATGACACAATGTTTTGTTGTCGAAGATAAGGTATTCAGTAGTCTGTCAGATGTATTTATTTGGAAATAAACAAGTCTCTAGTGTAATCACAAGACTGCGCTGACTCGGGAAATCGCAATGACACGATTACGGGTTCTATCCCCGCCCGTGGTAAGGCGGTGCTGTGTACGAATGGTATATAATACCGACAAGATGAGAGTAAGACACATGTGCAACATCTGGGTATCTTTATTGTAGACGTTTCGCCATCCAGTGGCTTTATCAATACAAATTCCAGGACATAACTTGAAGACAGTAGAACTATGTACAGAAGATGAGGTAATCAGTCCCTCAACCTAGGAGTAGGTGCGAACAGCACCATAGTCGTGGAGATTCTGAAGCAGAAGAAAGAATCCTGGCGCTTATATAGTAACGTCAGGTGAAGCAGACGAGGGCATATTCACTGGTGGGCGGGATTCCCCAGTGGAAGTGGGCCCTTCCCAAAGAGATGGGTTAGTTTTACTACTACAACTAACCCATCTCTTTGGGAAGGACCTACTTCCACTGGGGAATCCCACCTACCAGTGAATAGCCCTCGTCTGCTACACCTGACGTTACTATATAAGCGCCAGGATCCTTTCTTCTGCTTCAGAATCTCCACGACTATGGTGCTGTTCGCACCTACTCCTAGGTTGAGGGACTGATTACCTCATCTTCTGTACATAGTTCTACTGTCTTCAAGTTATGTCCTGGAATTTGTATTGATAAAGCCACTGGATGGCGAAACGTCTACAATAAAGATACCCAGATGTTGCACATGTGTCTTACTCTCATCAAGGCGGTGCTGTATGACCCTTGTAGGTTTAGCGCTTCTTTTTGATAATCACAAGGTTATGCACTCACCACATCGAAGAGTTGGTCAAGCGTGGCGTCGCTGGAACACACTTTGGGAAGAACTCGAGAGATGGAATCCCCTGACTGGTGGATATAAAGGTCCCTGTCGAACATAAGATGGAAGGGACACACCTGGCAGAAGGTGCGGGGACTGATCTTCGGCTCTGAGGAAGAGACAGACGCATGCAAAAATTACTGACTCGTTTACACATGTTAACACCATTAATCCCAATGGATCCTTGGGTGAAATATAATCATTATAACTTTTCAGATTCTTCTGCTTCTTAATAATAAGAACATAAGAACATAAGAATGTAGGAACACTGCAGAAGGCCTACTGGCCCATACGAGGCAGGTCCTTATCAAAACGACATCTACCTAAAGCTACCCAAGAAATAACTCCCGTACCCCATGACACCAATCAAACCCAGCCCCTCCCACTCATATATTTGTCCAGTCTCTTCTTAAAGCTACCCAAGGTCCTAGCCTCTATCACCCCACTAGGAAGACTGTTGAAGATAAAAGTCAATAACTGGATATGTATATTTAAGACAGGGCAGAAAACTATAACAAAACAGAAATGGAAGTGAAAAGGCTTTTGTGCATAATCACTAATAGAGAACTAATGAAATTATACAGTATCTTCGCAATGTTGTACTTTATTGAAAAACTTGCAATTAAACAAAACACATAAAACCACTTTAAAGGGGTAGATTATAACCAATATTAGGGATAAACCCTTATGATTTTAACATTTATTATGGAATTTACAGGATAGATTTTTACTACAAAGTATTTACTGCCCATCTAGTCATCTAAAATATATCAGTAAAAAGATTTTTAACCACATTTTTAAAACACCGTCATATTGTTTCAGATAGGAAACAATACTCTTCTCCAGATGGGACCCCACCTCAAAACTTTAATTTTGGGATGTTACATCGTTTCAAGTTCTTTCTTCTACAATTTTTCTTACCACTAAAGAACCTACTGTGTAGGCAAACGTTTCATAATAAAGATACCAAACTTTGCTTGGGGTTTTACCTCAACATTAACTTCAGAACGCACTGCAAGGGGCATTATTTTATTTCGCCAATTTTTACGTAAGCATAAGATGACAGTAGATCCAATTATGGGGCGAACTAGTTTGCTTTATCCGCAAAAATGTAAAACAACCGTACGAAGATATAATTTCTCAGCAACGGGGTTTTCGATCCATGACGTGCGTTGTGTTTTCATAAGTAAAAATTATCCCAAAAAAAAAAATGAACCACCTCAAAATTTCCTAAAACGGGGGCTTAAAACTAGTTTTCATATTTTTATATCTTTTGCCCCCAAAAAAACATAACCGTGACACACAACACATCGAAATCATATCCGTGTATCAACAACACATCGATAATACTTTTCGTGTATCACACAACACTCGAAAAATACTTCCGTATATCCCAACACATCAAAAATACTTTTCCGGATCAAACAACACATCAAAATAAATCCGAATCACCAAAAACGAAAAAACATACCTTTTATCCACAACACATCAAAAATCTATCCGGAACACAACGCTTTCGGAAAATACATATCCTGATCAAACAACACATCGTAAAACGTATGGGGTTGAAACAAAGTTTTTAATTATTCTGGGCGTTTGATGAGTTTTTTAGAGGGGGCCTAGCAAAAAATGACTAGACATTTTACCGCAAAATACATAGGAATTATTCCTAGAACCGATACCTTTTTTTTTTTAGAACACACCGTTTTCCACCAGGTGGGTGGCCAGAAAAAGAAAAACATTCCCAAAAACGCTCCATTACTGTTTTCCCAAAAGGGGCGCGCACTACAGTTACAAAATGCAACATAACATCCCCCCTTTCCCGATTGCAGACATTTTACTTCCACTGGGACTCATTTTTTTGACGCCATTACCGGGATAAAAACATAAACGAAAAATTTAATGACGCAAAACGCCCCCAAAATTTTCCAACGAAAACTCTGAAATGGGGAATAAATTGATTTCAAGCAACCCGGGGAAAGGGGTGGGTATTGAACCCCTTGCAAGTAAGCCGTTGGGTCAGTCTACTGTTGGCAGTGGCCCAGTGCCTTATCCTGGCCTGGACTTTTACCACCACTGGCCCCGGACTTTTACCACTCACTGCCTGGACTTTTTCCCCCACGGCCTGGACTTTTGCCACTCATTGGCCTGGACTTTTACCACCACTGGGTGGACTTTTACCACTCACGGCCTGGACTTTTGCCACCATTGGGTTGGACTTTTTCCCCTCACTGGCTTGGATTTACCACTCACTGCTTCGAATTTTGCCATTTCACTGGGCCCCGGACTTTTGCCCTCACTGGGTTGGACTTTTACCACTCATTGGCTTGGACTTTTACCACTCACTGGCTTGGACTTTTACCACTCACTGGCTTGGCCTTTTACCACTCACTGGCTTGAACTTTTACCACTCACTAGCCATGGGGTTCAGTCCCCCATCCATTGCGTAGTTTGGTAAGCAGACATAAGACTGACAACTTCAGTCACATCTACAGATATCAATACCGACAAAATGTGGAACAAGACATACACAGTGAATACACTAACTGAATGACTGATAAAACATGTCTCCTTCAGTAGATGACTTTATAGTGCATGTCTTATTCTCATAATTTCAATCCTGAACATGGGTATATAACTAGGAATAGCAGCACCAAAAATTTTGAAAAATATCATAGAATGTTTTCCATTCTTTTTAGAAGATATTGCAAAAAGTTAAATTAGTAGACAAATGGAAGATGGCACATGCTGTGGTATTCAAAAAAAAAAAAATCGTAAGGCCTTTTAAACTATAGTACTATCTAGTTTATGAGTATCGAAAATATATTAAAAAAATGTTGATTAAATACTGGTAGAACAAGATCTTACTAAGTCGTAAAGAATTCGGTATTTGGTCTGCAAGTTCATGTATTTAACATGTATTAAGTTACTATGGCAGTCGTTTACCTGGAGTTTACCTGGAGAGAGTTCCGGGGGTCAACGCCCCCGCGGCCCGGTCTGTGACCAGGCCTCCTTAGGTCAGTGTCCCAGGATGCGACCCACACCAGTCGACTAACACCCAGGTACCCATTTTACTGATGGGGAACATAGACAACAGGTGGAAAGAAACACGTCCAATGTTTCTACTCTGGCTGGGAATCGAACCCAGGCCCTCACCGTGTGAAGCCAGAGCGTTAACCACCAGGCCACCAGAGCCCCAGTCGTGGAAAGGTTTCAGAAAAAGAAAATAGTAGATTGTATATTTTGACTTTAGGAAAGCGTTTCACAGAGCTCCCATGAGAGACTAATTTGAAAAATTGCAATATACAGAAGAAACAAATGACAGTTTATTGAAAGGAAATTGTAAGCAGTAACGAGTATGAGGAAAAATTTCTTCTTGAGAGAGGGGAGATATATCACAAGTGGGGTGCCCAAAGTATCTGTACCAACCTCAGTAATATTCTAGATTTAAATATGATTAACCAGACAGAATAAATAATCCTTATGAATATCAAAGTGGAAGGTATAATGTCACCGGCATATATGGATGAAAAGATAGAAGTATATATTTAGGCTATCTTTGCTGGATATACGAGTATTACGGTCCTGGACCTTCCTAACTCCAGATGACACAATGAGAGAACGCGGATTAGTAGAAAATGATTAGTGTTTAATGAGAGTATTATTATCAATATTCACATCTTGAAAACCCTGTGTACGTAACCCTGTGTACGTAACCCTGTGTACGTAACCCTGTGTACGTGACCCTGTGTACGTAACCCTGTGTATGCAACCCTGTGTATGTAACCCTGTGTATGTAACCCTGTGTATGTAACCCTGTGTACGTAACCCTGTGTACGTAACCCTGTGTATGTAACCCTGTGTATGTAACCCTGTGTACGTAACCCTGTGTACGTAACCCTGTGTACGTAACCCTGTGTACGTAACCCTGTGTACGTAACCCTGTGTACGTAACCCTGTGTATGTAACCCTGTGTACGTAACCCTGTGTACGTAACCCCGTGTACGTAACCCTGTGTATGTAACCCTGTGTACGTAACCCTGTGTACGTAACCCTGTGTATGTAACCTGTGTATGTAACCCTGTGTACGTAACCCTGTGTACGTAACCCTGTGTATGTAACCTTGTGTATGTAACCCTGTGTATGTAACCCTGTGTACGTAACCCTGTGTACGTAACCCTGTGTACGTAACCCTGTGTATGTAACCCTGTGTACGTAACCCTGTGTACATAACCCTGTGTACGTAACCCTGTGTACGTAACCCTGTGTATGTAACCTTGTGTATGTAACCCTGTGTACGTAACCCTGTGTACGTAACCCTGTGTACGTAACCCTGTGTACGTAACCCTGTGTATGTAACCTTGTGTATGTAACCCTGTGTACGTAACCCTGTGTACGTAACCCTGTGTATGTAACCTTGTGTATGTAACCCTGTGTATGTAACCCTGTGTACGTAACCCTGTGTACGTAACCCTGTGTACGTAACCCTGTGTATGTAACCCTGTGTACGTAACCCTGTGTACGTAACCCTGTGTATGTAACCTTGTGTATGTAACCCTGTGTACGTAACCCTGTGTATGTAACCCTGTGTATGTAACCCTGTGTATGTAACCTTATGTACGTAACCGAGGCACGTCCTCAAAAATTTATCGGCAACGACTGATTAAATTGAACACCTGACAGTGTCTTACTTACTGTGATACCAAACACAAGCTGGACTTCGTTGCTCAAAATTGAGTATTATTTCAGCAAACATCAACGTCATAATATCAACATCTTGAGATGTCGATATCAAAGTAAACAGGTGTAATCAAAATGGTGAAATTCCCAGCGTTTTCGTAATTTTTCACATTATCAAGGAACTATAAAAATATAAAATCAACATGAAGGTATACAAGGAATGAGACTACACCTCGCGGTTGCGTTACAACACCTGACTTTTTATGATGTAGGTGAAACACAGCTGTGTTTACTATACCGAGAAACTGATGAGTCAGATATGTATTTTTACTGATTATACTTTCAGACCGCTGTGAAGGCTTCATCGAATACACAGTTGAGATATAATTCTGGAGACAGAAGACGAGGCAGAGTTGTGTTGTAAGTAATCAGTCCTTCAGGAAAAGCGAAATGTTTCTACAGTAAAAACGCCTATTGATGCAGTTGTGTCGTTCTTATCACCCAAAATATAACTGGTAAGCCATTGGAAGGCCTCGGTCAGATGACCAAAAACTCCCATGGCAGGTCAGGAAACACTGGTCCCTGTTTCCTGAAGAGTCTTGTCTAAACTAACGACGCAACCTATCAATTATATCCCCACGTTCTGGGTATAATGTATTCATGACTGGCATTCAGTCTTAGCTTTTATTCACAGTAAACTTAATTCTCCCTCACCACTAACTCTCCTACTTTTCACAACTTAACATACATTTTAAAACCACTCATTTCTCACCGAACTCACTCATTTTCAACTTGTATCAAATTCGTCTACTCGCCTCCCATTCACAATTTACTCACTACCCACCTACCTCACTTTCTCTACCCACTACTGTTAAATATCAAACTCACCGGCGTCAACGATATGGTCCTGGGCCTGCTCACTGATATGGTCAGTGGTGTGACTGTCTTTCTCTGTGATGAGGAACTGAACGTGGTCTTCCTCGCCTTTGCTTTTAAGTATCTCCACCTCGACTTCTGTCTCGTGTAGCTGGCATGCCACTGCCTGAAGAAAAATTTAATGGGGTGGTTTTTAGATAATAACAGTGAGTATTAAAGAGATATATAGATTTTTGCCACAGAAGTGGCTAATTTATTTTGCGCTCTGTATCCATCTTGTGGAGGGTATTGCAAGAACAGATGAATATCTAAAAAGCCTAAGAACTAGGCCCCAAACGGGATAACAGCAGTATGTCTAAATAAATATCTACAGTTTAATTATCTGTTGCAAGCAAATTTACGAAATTTGATTAACATATATCCTGTTTTCATTAAGATATTTTGACATATAGATTATTATCTTAGTACGAAAGAAAGAGAATGAAATAGAAGAATGAAATTATTACATTATAATGCCCAGACTACACGTAAATTATTCTAGTCTGTAGTTTAGCTCGTATTATTTTTCTTACATATCAGAATTACATTTACTGACTTCACCTTTTCAAAGTAATTGCTCGTTATCCACTGAATTGGTTTAGTTTTCATTTGACTCACACACTGCTGTTACACACTTTCTTTAGTCTCTCTTGTGTCTACACAGTTCTTCACGGACTTAAGTTTCATTCCCCAGAAGCTCTCCTTCCTTCGGTCTTATTTTCTGGTCTTTTACTGCATCTACCTAAATCTAATCTTCCTCGTAGCGCAGTTGTAAACAACTTTGCTTCTGATTTGACTTTTGTTGTGACGTTAGTGTTAAATTGTCTGTGTGCTTCTATACTCATCATCTCATTAAATACTGTTCTAAACTTTATATACAACTGTTATCGTTTACGCTTCGTTGCTGCTAAAAAATTGGTAAATACAATGGGACTAGCGCTTCCATGCTATACTTAACATACTCCATAAGCTGGATGACACACAAGGGATCGCAGAATCGTAATTACACGATGCTAAACAGTATAGTACAGTGAGGCATTATTGTATTTTATTTCCCAAGGCGGATTTAGCGTTCCTATATTAACGTAATAATCTAAAATATACTGATAAAATATACTTGATATTCGGGTTTGGGAAGCTGTAGTTAACCTAATTAACCTTTGATTTATCTCGATTAGTGAGAAGAGCAAAAAGGGGAAGAGAGGCGGAAAGAAACAACGTTCAGTCTTCTGTTCATATTACGGATATAGCCCAGAGAAAGTAAGTAGAAATACAAGGCTTTGATTTTTTGTGTAAGGGTTAGTGCGTCTTTTAGGGGCATTTCCTGTCCTAATATCTTCCCAATAGTGTGTGTGTGTTGGTGGTTGTGTGGTGTGTTGTGTGTGAAAGGAATGAGCTTTCTTTAAATTTACCATACGTATGAACATTCAACACACACACACACACCACACAAACACACACACACACACACCAGATGAACCCGGGGATGTTGGGAAAATTTTTTCTCCCCCACAGAGTATCAGAAAATGGAAATTTTTGGAAGCGATGTAGTGGAGGCAGGAAAAAAACATGCTTAAGCAGAGTATGAAAAAGTTCACGGCCGGGGGAGTGACCTAGTACGATCATGAAGGGGGGGGCCAGGAGCTGGGGAACCGCCCCCCGCAACCTCAACTAGGTGATACAATAGGTAGTACACACACACACCACACAAACAAACACACCACACACCCCACAAAACCACAGTGCCACACCAGGAAAAGTGAAGGGCTTCTGAGTGAGCTAGATCCCCCAAAAGGCAATGGGGCCAGATAACATCCCCCCAGGGGTATTGAAGGGGAGCAGGGGCACTAGTGCCCCAAACCAACAATATTCAATCATCTATCGAAACGGGGAGATTGCCTGGGGCAGGAAAAGACGAAATGTAGTCCAATCTTTAAAAAAGAGACAGACATGAAGCATTAAATACAGACCGTGTCACTGACATTATTATGCAAAATCATGGAAAGTTATCGGAGAAGAGTGGGGGAAACACCTAAAAGGTGATCTCATCAACAGCACCCCAGCATGGTTTCAGGACGGGAAATCCGTGTCACAAACCCAAGGGGAGTTCTAGACATGGTGACAGCATAAGACAAGAGAGAGGGGGGTGGGTGGATTGCATTTTCTTGGACTGCAAAAGGCGTTTGAACACAGTTCCACACAAGAGTTGGGCAAAAACGGAGGCCCAAGCGGGGATAACAGGGGCCTAAATGGACAGGGAATACTTGTCAGGAAACAGCAGCGAGCTGGTAGGGGCGAGGTGTCAGAGTGGGCACCTGTCCCAGGGGGGTCCCGCAGGGGTCAGTCCAGGACCAGTGCTGTTTTTTTGGGTAACACATACGGAAGGAATAGCCTGAGGTGTCCCTTTTGCAGATGAGTGAAGTGATGAAAAATACACCGAAAAAAGCCAGCAGAACTAAAAAGGGGATTGGCGGGGCTGCAGACCTGGTCCACAATTGGTCCTGGATTCAATCCCCCCAAAGGAAAAGTCTGAAGATTGGGGAAGGGAAAAAAGGCCGCAGACGGGTACAGTCTGGGGGGTCAAACTACAAACCTCACTCAAAAAAAGATTTGGGGGGAGTAAAAACACCAGGGGACATCCCTAAGCCACATAAAACCAAAAAACTGCTGCAGCATATGGGGCCCACAAACCTCGAACAGCATTCCCCAATCTTAATAAGGAATCGTTCAGGGCCCTGTCACCGTAACTTTTGGCCCTTTGGAGTATGCGGCACCAGTTTGGAACCCACACAGCCAAGCACGTAAAGAAATAAGAAAGTGCAAAGGTTTTTCAACAAGACTAGTCCCCGAGCTAAGAGGTAGTCCTACGAGGGAGGTTAAGGGAAACAAAAATGACGACATGGGACAGGAGGATAGGGGGGACATGGTTTAAAGACATACAAAAAATGAGGGGAATGACAAGGTGGGCAAAGAAGGAAATTTTCCCAAAATTTGGACACAGTAAAAGGGGGAAAAGTTGGGAAACTGAAGACACAGATGAATCACAGGGATGTTTTGGAAATTTCTTCAGCCACAGAGTATCAGTAAAATGGAAAATTTTTTGGAAACGATGTAGTGGAGGCAGGATCCATACAAGCTTTAACAGAGGGATTAAACCACGGCTGGGAGAGGACCTAGTAGCGATCAGTGAAGAGGCGGGGCCCCGGAGCTCGGGCTCACCCCCCCCAACCCAACTAGGTGAGACATGGTGATAACACAAAACACACACACACAAAACACACACCACACACACACCACACACCACACACACACACACAATATATAATATATATTATATATTATAAAGACAAGCATGGGCGTGGAAAACTTTTTGCTCAAGACTTTCAATTCTCAGTGCGTCATCAGGGCTGTGCAAGTATGTGTATGTTGTATCAATATATTATATATATATATAATATATATAATATATATATTAATAATATATAAAATTAATAATATATTTCGCCCGCCTCGAGAATTCCTTTCATTGTT